ATGAAAGCCGGTAAAGAACTAGGACTTGAAATAAACGTGGATAAAACAAAATATATGGTTAGCTGCAAAAATGGCAATACTGCTGGTGATATCGATATAGATGGTAATATGTTTGAACAGGTAGATAAGTTTAGGTATCTAGGTTCTACGATAACTAGAAAAAACGAAATTAAGGTTAGACTGAAGGCGGGAAATGCTTGCTATTTTTCTGTGACAAAACTACTCAGTTCGCGCCTCTTGTTCCGGAACTTAAAAATTAGAATCTATAAAACAATTATCTTGCCTACAGTTCTTTATGGGTGCGAAACTTGGAAGCTTACATTAAGGGATGAGCAGCGTCTTAAGGTTTTTGAAAATAAAGTATTGCGTAGAATATTCGGACGGAAGAAGGATGAGTTAACCGGAGAGTTCAGACGGTTACACAACGCCGAATTGTGTGAACTGTATCCGGTAATATAATTGAATTAATTTCATCGCGGCGAATCAAATGGGCTTGTAAAGTTGTTGGACTTAGTAACGAGAGAATTCCTAAAAGGTTAATATTTGCTGTGCCGAATGGTAAGCGTCCGAGGGGTAGACCGAGGCGAAGGTGGGAAGATTGCATTAAAGCCGATCTGAAGGGACTGGGTTTGAACGGCGAACGCTGGAGGGAGGTGTGCAATAAGCGATTGGTTGTGTCGGCATCGAACCTTCGGGTTCGCTAAGCCTTATTATTATTATTATTATTAACAACAGGGAAACATGTTTATTCATGTATACAATGTATTATAAGGTATACGTAAATTATCAACATATTCTATTAAACAAACACAACTGATGCATTTTTATACCTTACTTCGACTGTTAAAATAACAATTTACTTAATGAGTAATTATAATGTTCCTTTGGAAAATCGTCTAGTTTAATATATGAACCTTTCAGTTTACAGAATGACTAACTCCAATTTCAACATTTTCAACAGCCATTTCAGTGATATTTTCTAGTTTGAAAATATATAATATCTGTAATTTACGGTGAGTAAATTGATTCCAGAGCAGGTGATTGCAGTGTTGAAATATAGAACTGAGAATAAAGGTATAAATTTTCCCACTAGAAACATCATTAAAATTGATAATCTAGAATGTTGAAATTGGAGTTAGTCATTCTGTAAACTGAAAGGCTCATATATGACTCCACATATAACACCTCTCCTCAAAGTTATACTAATCAAATATTATTCTCTCTCAAGATCTATATGTTCGGCAAAGAAGAGTCTTGTTTGTAGTCACTTCATAAGAGTATTGTGTATAAAAAATATCAAAATGTTTCTTTCTATATTGTCAAAAGTGCACAAAGGATCATAGAACTGTCCTTCTTCATTTAACTTTTTAACAGATTTTTGGTTAGTCGAACACAATAATAAAAATCTGGTGTGCGGAACACATAACTTTCACTTACCGCTCCACTTTGAATAGAAATTATTTTCTGGCAATAGTGGACTATTATACAATTTTTGAATTGCATTTTTAACTGATCTAAAGCTAAAAGATTGCAACTAAAAAATCATAAATACTAAATATATCAAATATCAAAATAACAAAAGTCCTATTTATTATATCACCGGTTGTTTATGGATTGTATGATCCGTTAATCATGGATTGTACGACTATTAGTTATTAAACTGTTATTTTCTATTGCAAAGTTTACTAAAACGGAACAGAGAGATTTGCATTGTCTGTCATAGACTGGTCAAAAGTTGTCACACTGATTGTTAGTGGATTCTGTTGGAATATCGCAAAGAGAAAATTGATCAAATTATTCCCTAATTTAATTTCCTAAAAGGTTACTCAATGATTTTTCGGCATAAACGGGCGGCTGATACCCAATTATTTAAATATAATATCAGATCTAGAGTTATTAAACTACAGTAAATATATTTATGGCTATAAACGTATCCATGAAATGTTTTTATATTTCACTTCTTCTTTTACCCAAGTACAATGAAATAGTATCTTAAACAATATCATTGTCTTGAATCCGTGGGTTTTAAACAATTTTTCAAACATTAAAAAAAATTTACACTTAGTAAGAAAATTTCATTTAATTTCCTTGAAAACTTGTTATTATTTATATTTATTTCGCCACTCTTCGTTACTTTCTACAACTTTCTATATTAGACATTGTTTTTTTTTCTAAATTTCTCTGCTTTCCAACGATACATTATATGCATTCTTTCTGACCAGAATTTCTGGAGATTCATTTTCGACCTGTATAAGTATTTTTTTTCTCCTTTATTTAATTATCAAATTATTCCAAAATTATATATTATATATTTAGCATTTTCCCATAACTCCTAACAATGACAAATAGTTATTATTTATAATAAACCAAATTCAAGGTACTTTAGAGAAAGATATGATAATGTTGGGATTTCACAAAGGGGAAATTCATCAAATTATTCACTAATTTAATTTTCCAAAAAGTTACAAGACAATTTTTCTGAATAATCTTTGATACCTAATTATTTAAATATAATATTAGATCTAGAATTATTTATTGAACTACAGTAAATGTATTTAAGGTTATAAACATATGCTTTATACATCCATGAAATGATTTTATATTTTACTTCTTATTTCACACAAGTACAATGAAATAGTTTTGTTAACAATGCCATTGCCTTGATTAAGTGGATTTTAAATACTTTTTACAAACGTAAAAATATTGTTTCAACCTTACATTTAATAGTTAGTAAATGTCATTTAATATCCTTGAAAACATGTGATTTACGTTAAATATTATCAGTTTTCAAAAATCATCATTTATAATTTTTTTCGTAGCTCTCCGTTACTTTCTACAACTTTCTATATTGTATATTGTTTTTTTCTAAAATTCTCCGCTTTCCAACGATGTATTATAAGTATACCTTCTGACTTGTATTTCCAGAGATTCATTTTCGACCTGTTAAGCATTTTTATTTTTTTATCCTTTATTCAATTATGAAATTCTTTCAAAAGTAATATTTAGCATTTTTTCTTAACTCTTAATAATGAGAGATAGCTAATTATTTAAAATAAACCATATTAAAGGTACTTTAGAGGAAGACGCATATGAACATTGGGCAGTTAAGCCCTGTAAAGTGACATCAACGGGGATAAGACCTGAATGATGTTAAAGACCACTTAATTATACAATGATACACCGAGTTTAATCATAATGAGCCGTTTTTGGGAAAATTGTAAAAATGTGTTTCAGCGTTGATATAAAGTGGCACTTCCGGTTAGTCGATTTTAAGGAAAAAAATGACATCTAAGGCATATATCTATCTTTAATATGTAATATCAGTTTCGTACAACTTTTCGGTTTCGAGCTAGAGTGTTCACATACATACAGACACACAGACCATTTTTCAGGACTTGGTTATTTGTACTCGGGAGACCTCAAAACATGTATTTCCGTTGAAAGCTCAGATTAAAAAATTTTCACGATCGCAATACTTACACTTACTATATATTACATACATAGGTAAGTGAAAGTTAAAAATAACAATACTTAAAATTTTGTCAGTATGGTATCTAAGATCAGTATCAGTATGGTAGCTTATAATCTAATAATGATAATAATAATAATCTAATAATTCTATCAGTATGGTACCTAAGACGATATCGGTAAGAATTGCGATTTATCTCGAAAATGATTCTGAATGCAAGCTTTTCATTTTTGACCAATTCTTAGATTTTAGTATTTTATCTTCATAAGAATATTTAATTTGATATTAGCATTATGATTTATACTTTGTTTTCTTATTCGTAAATATGTATTTTTTTAAAATTATCGATTTAGATACTAAAGGCCTATTGATAATGATTTATTTTAAATTACACAATCTTATACGATCGTTATTTTTTTTTCATTTACCATCACCATTAATTACCATCGATAATGTAGGAGATAGCTGTGGATATTTTAATCATGACCTTTCTTGGTTTTATCATTTCATTTCTTTGAACTAAAATACTTCTATAATATAGGATAGTGGAATTTTTATATGGAATATTTTTTAAATATAATTGTCTTAATCAGCGCTGTTGTTCAAATAAAAATCAAATACCAATTGAATAAAACATAATTAAAATACGATAAAACCTATCATTATAAGAAGAAATCTTAATCTGTCTTAGAAAATAAAAATATGAATATTTAAATTCTAAAAGACCATCGTTGGCACTTTTTTTGGACTAACTAAATGGAATTTGGAGATTGATAACCAGATGAAGTAATTCCTTTGTCCTGATGGCGGTGCCCATCTCCCAAAAGCCACGGGGCATGCTCCTTCCTCCAAAAAATATTATTTTTAAATTGTATTGTCAAAAACGGTTCAAGTGAAAATAAAGTTTAATGTATTTACAACTACACTTGTGGTGGTTCCATGTTTTTAGCTATTTCTCCGGTTTGAAATTCCACACAAATTGATAACCCACAAAAATATGGTTTTCTCCAAGAAATCGCACTTTATTCTTGTATCCAACGATATTTGTGGGATTCTAGCAAGAGCATTCCTCACCCGCACTGCCAAATATATGCAGATACTCAGCAAACCGCAGCCTATTATCGATTTGCACAGGAAGATATCTAATATATATCTTTCGTTAGATAATGATCACCCCGCCGGTTAGGCTGATTGCTTTCTTCACTTTCCAGCTGTTAGTGGCCACTGCCTCAGTTTTATGATTAGTAAGGCCAACTAATGAAACCCAGTGGTGAATGGTACCTGTATTATTTTAGCAAAGTATGTAATCTCTTCGAGGAGCTTTCCACGTAATAAAATTGTAAAGCAGAGTGATCACCAGCTGTGATGTAGGCTTTCGGCCCAGCATCTGAATCATACCTCAGGATTCTATTAGAAAGTTAAGTGACAATTATTATCCTTACAAGATACAGTAGGACTTCTAACCATCGCATTAAATGCACGTTACTATCCCGCCTATCTGGGTTGAAAATATTCTTTAAATCCAAAGGCATAACGGCTTCCCTTCCGAAACCCATGTTTCGGTTTTTTTATCCCTCAGTTATGATTTTAGCTCATTCAATGACATCTGTGCCACACACGATCCTCTCCAGGACCATACCCGTAGTGTACAGGAGAAAGATTGGCCAATATGATGCAGAATCATCTGAAGATCCCTCTCGCTCCCAGCAGGAGCACCAAGCAAAGAAGTGCACTCTTGTGGCCTCGGCGAATTCTACATTGATATTCTAGAATTTATTTATTTGTTCATCTATCCCTTGTGCTGTTTGTGTTTCTTTATATTTTTTGGTACAGCATGGAATACTTAAAATTCTCGAAGTTATATATTTATAGAAGCTCCAACAGGTAACCCTAGTTTTATAATGAAGGAATTTAAACATAACTAAAAAAATTTAAATTAGCTAACTCACAGGCGTTGATGACTCTTGTATTTAACGCCTTTAAAGCCCAAACAAAAAAACTAAATAAATTATCATTTAAAAATGTTCACTAAACAATTACAACACATCGTTTTTTGAAAATTAAAATCGAAAATAAAATTGTGAATATGAGAATAAAATGAATCATCCCTAGAACTAATGAACAAACGTTGGCTAATGTTTATAATGTAGTATTAGATAACAAGCTAATAATTTGACGAGACTTATTCATCCCCTGTTTATTTATTATATATATAATAAATATAATAAATAAACAGGGGATGAATAAACATTAGCCAACGTTTGTTCATTAGTTCTAGGGATGATTCATTTTATTCTCATATTCACAATTTTATTTTCGATTTTAATTTTCAAAACAACGATGTGTTGTAATTGTTTAGTGAACATTTTTAAATGATAATTTATTTAGTTTTTTTTGTTTGGGCTTTAAGGCGTTAAATACAAGAGTCATCAACGCCTGTGAGTTAGCTAATTTAAATTTTTTTAGTTATTTTTAAATTCCTTCATTATAAAACTAGGGTTACCTGTTGGAGCTTCTATAAATATATAACTTCGAGAATTTTAAGTATTCCATGGTGTACCAAAAAATATTCTTTTTTTTTTTTTTGTCCGCCTATTCCACGTCTTTTAGGCTATACTGGGTTTTGTCTTGGCCAGAGGAGAGAGCAGAGAATTAATGCCAGAGCTAACCACCCTCGACACCAAAACGCGAACTCGTAATTATTTTATCACTCTAACTTCGTTTTTATTGTATATAGGTGTGTATGTGTTCTTTTTATTTATTTATTGTTAGGTTATTTTATTCTTATTTATTGTATATATATTATTTTTCTGTATAATTTATTTTATTTATTGTACATAGAGTGTGAACTCTATTATAGATGTCCTAGAGACAGATTGTAATATTTTTCAATAAATAAGTTTAAAAAAAAACAAAAAAAAACTTCGTTTTATCAGGCTGTTCGGCCATTTCGCTACCAACTCCCTTTTTTATATGTTAATAGATTGTTGATTTTTGATTCATACAAGATGTCACTAGCGGATCTACGATTTCATTTTTGGGAGCTTCATCCCGGAAGCTTTTTTTTTTTTTTTTAAATATAACGAAAATTACTTTTGAAGAAAGAGAAATAAACTAACTACCTATATGAAATGGTGATTAAATGATTCTAGAAGTCTTATTAAATGTAATTACAATAACAATAATACCTTTAGAGATCATATTCTTATATTTCATAAGACATGGTAATATTTTAGCATTTGGGGAGAGAGGACTTCAGCCCGAAAGCCATCCCCCCATAGACCCACCTGTGCTAGATGTGTAAAAATTGAAATGAAGAAAAATAATAATTGATTATTATAATTCATCCAATGACAGCCACGAGGAGGCAGAGTGGCACAACTATTCCTATCTCCTTTCTAGGAAGAATGAAACAACAACAAATATAAACATCAAATTTCTAAAATATTATGGACTGAGACAAGATGATTGTTAGTATTTCAACATTTTAATAGAAACGAATCATGAAAAAAAAATACCATCTACTTGAAAGAAAGTAAATTTTAAAAATTTTCAACTCTCTTTGTTTAGCTGCTGCTTGTAAAGCATTCTTTATCTCCACATGTACCTCCAACTTAATTGGGTCGTATCTTTAATACTTTTTTTTTCCTATATGCTTTAATATATATTTTTTAAATGTTAAGTCTTCAGTTTATTCATAAGAGAAGTATTTTAATATTCATCGTTTGATTAAGTAGAAACTGTCATAATTTTAGTAGTCATATTTATTCATCAGGCGTTTTTAAGTCTGGCATAAGCGTAATCAAGTTTGGAACGATAACCTCAAGATTATAAAAATTGCCATCTAGACTTAATATTTTTTTTGGTTTCTCTGTGAGAAACAATTTAGAACATATGGTATTAGACTGTAATAAGTATGGTCTGTAAGAAATAAGTTGATAAGAAACAAAAAGGAAATGAATTATAGTGACTACTTTGAATAATTGAATTTACTAGGTTTTGGAACAAAATAATCACAAAACATAATTTTTTTAGCAAGAAAATATCCTAAAAGTTATGTTTTATGATTATCTAATCGTTCCTTTTAATTACAGATATTTAATGTTATAACTCTAATTATGAAAAATATTGCGATAGTCCATAAATATTTGTGGGACGTTTTAATGAATGTTTTCCTCCGTTTAGCTTTTAGGATTGGTAGAATGAGGAAACCATAATTGCCAATAGAAAAGAAATATAGGAGAAATGAAAACATTTGATAGACAATTAATATGAAGGAAATTATGAAATATGATCAAAATAGGGGAGCGGGGTTTTATTTCGGTGGAAAACCGCAATATTTATCTCCGATGTTGCTGGAATTAATAATGTGTAATAATAAAAAAAAACGATATATATATATATATAGTGTTATTCAAAAGGTTTGTGATAAATCAAAACCCTAATCGTTTATTTGATTAATTATTATTTGTTGCCTATTCGAAAATGACAGATAACACGGTAAGCAATTGCAACGTTTAAGTAGTGCAAATAAGCTTGATCTGAACCACGGAATAATTTCTTTATTTATGATATAATTTTTCAAACACAAATATGCTTACGAGACTATGGAATAATGCATTTAATTAATTTTTGATAATGTAAAAATGGTATAATTAAACACATAAAATTATATTATTGTTATCTTAATTTTATAATACTACATTTGTATTATGTTAGGTAATGACTATATGACTTGCTTGTAATATTTTGGATTAGCCTATATAATATAGTATTTTCAATTCGTTTATTAGCAGTTTTGAAACTCTATTTACATGTTGACGTTGCATAGAAACCACCGTTCTATGTTATTAATTCAAGGAAAGTTAACTTTTTTTAAATATTATTAACTGGCAACAATTTTTGTTTATAATTTCTTTTAATAATGGAGTTTTTTAATATATCGGCTGTATAATATTTCTCAGGTCTGCTGTTGAGTATTTCACAACCAACCACTGTTCATTATAAACTTCTTTCCTTACGATTATAAACTTAATATTTTTTTGTGTTCAGCTCAAGATTTATACATTAAGTATATTGTTAGAATTCAATCTCAAAGAGATGTTTTTGATTACATAATCACAAAAAAAAAACTTCAATTAAAATTACCAACATACAATTACTTAATAAAGAAATTTCAAAACTTCTAATAAATCAATATCCAAAATAAGGAGAAAACACAAAATACTAATAAAAAATATTTGCATTTTAAAATATTAATATTACCCAAATGAAGAAATACATGCTTTTAAAAATTCAGATAAAAATAAAATTTTATGTAATTAATTATACCATCTCTAACTTCATAAAAAAAAAAAAAAAAAAAAAAAAAAAAAAAAAAAAAAAAAAAAAAAAATAGATATCTTATTTCTTGATTTCATGAGTAGTTGCAGGAAATATTAATAAATAAAAAAATAGTTCGTTGTCCAGGATTATTCCATTAATAGTTGCTAGTTCTGCTCATACTGCTTAAAAATAAAACAAGTAAGGTTTTTCTTTACCACAAACCTCTCAAAAAACACTATAAGGTTTTTGAATTTTGGATTTTGAACTTCAGTCATATCAAGCATACGTTTTGAAATGAAATTGATGTGACATTGTGGCATTTGGAATTTTAAGAAATTATAAAAAAAAAAAAAAAACAGGATACATTTTTTATGTATGATGTAGATTTATTTCGGATCAACTACAATTAAGTACCTATTCAACACATAAAGAGGTATCTTGTTTATGATTTATGATATAGAAAAAGTATTCAAAACTATTTTATTATTTTAAACTTGAGCGCTAAACTACAGGACACTTTTATCATATTAGGAGTTGAATTCCATTAAATGTGCTAAGATTGTGTCTTAAAATATTATCTTTAAATTTATATATGTTTGATCTTTTTAAATCAACAAAACTGAAAATGCTGACATTTACTTGAAATTGACACCTAGAACTGAAAAATAACGGGTGTCAATTATAGACGGTAAAATAAAACAAAAATTCTCCGACTTTCTTTTATCCCCAGAATCATGGAGGTATCTCCATAAATAATATTTTAAAAAATTAAAAATGGTCGAACGACCACTCCTGGACCTCTTTTGGTAGATTGGCCTTCTTATAAAAATCACTATGAATACACCGAAAAAGTAATTATTAAGCCTGTGTTACAAAATAAAATACTATTTCTAGTATGACTATAAATAAGTATAGAAATCATGATTTTTCGAATGAACTTGTTTCTTGTGAGTGAAGTAATTTGCAATACCTTGTTGACCTTGAAGTGATACAAGAGGAATCCTGTGGGGCCGTCGGTTGAGATTTGACTACTGCAAATTATTGAGGATATTATCTTCTCTTTGCAGCAAACTAAAAACATTGTCCGCACAGTACAAACTAACGAACGAATCACACTGGCAGCCTTGACGGGTAAACAAATCCCAACCGTGGAAAAAAAAAACAGCTGACCTAATATTCATTAGAAAAAAACAAATAAAATAAATGAAATTTTAATTATGGTATTATTAGCGTGTTCTTATAAGCAGCTAGTTGCTTTGACTGGGCAGTAACAATCATTTTTGACGCTTCTGTCTTTCCTTTAAAATTAAGTTTATTTTTTTATAACAGATGTCAATTTCATTCTTACTCATTTTGTATATGAAAATATTTTAACGGCATTACGAAATATTTTATATAAAATAACGATTAATATTAAGTAACGATTAATTTTTTTGGTTATGAAACAATCTTTAAATTTTAAATATACCTTGGCCA